CCCCCGGAAAATTGAGAAGCCGGGTTGGCAGTCACCCTGCGAACAGTTTTTGTCGGGAAATCGAAACTATGATATGGTTCTTTTCGGACAAGTGTAGACCTTCGAAAATAGGCTTTTGTCATGAATTTTTTGACCAAATCTCCTTGAATTTTAAAAATTTCTCCTTTAAACCTCCTTGAATTTGGTGGGAAGTTCATGGCAGGAACCCTGGAGTATGGGTGAGCGGGTAAGAGCAATATCTTATTTGAGTAATAATAGAAAGTTTAATAAATTGTTTGGTTAACAGAGGAATTGGTTGAAAAAATATATCATTCAAGGAATAGTGTTTGGAGAGTTTTCTTGGCTCACTATCTCCATGGGACCAGTCCTACTGGAGAACGGAAGTTATTTGGAAGTCCTTCGTCCTAACTGTATTTCTGACATGGGGCTGACTTTTCAGCCCACCGATCGTAACTGGATTGTTCAGGGAGATTTTTTGGCGGGCTATATTCAAACTCTGGAAATAGTGTAGTTATGTGTGGATTCCGTGTTGAAAGTTTTTAAACAGCCAATCTGACTTCCAGACTTCCATTAGAAAATGAGAATAAGTGAAAATCGTAGTCTTTTTCATTTGACCCCATGGGACTGAAGTAATGTCTAGAATGGCTGATCCATCATCAGAACCAACAGGTTTTTTTCACCAAAACACACCAAAATTTGTTAGGAGCGGTTGACTCAAACGATAGAGACTTGGCTGACGATTTTATATAGATATCCCGTGACAGTTTAAAGTTGAGTGGTGTTGAGGAGGATGATGGTGAATATAAATCAGTCTGTCAGTACACAAATAGGTCCTTATCTCTAGATCAAGTCAGGAGTGGGAAACTTTGCTTCAATGAAAGATGTTCCAAGCTATTACTAGGTACCAGACACCTAAATTTTCCAACTAGCTGTATGCCAAATTTATCTGTTCCATTTGAAAGGCCTATATCCACTGAGCATTTTGGTACCATTCTTTAACTTCTCCGTCAATTTTAAAGAAAATTGTAGTTGTTTAAAATTTAATTAAAATTGTAAAGTCAGTCACTGGCTGCAACCCCAGGTTTGACAGACAATAAAAAAAGTACCAAGTGCACTAAACATCTCCACATTAACAGAGTACAATCACTATAACAAATATATGGAGCCTAATTTTTTTCAAGACTGAGATCTTTACAAATCAGTATTTTATCGCCTCAAACACGATGATCTGTCGTTATTTTGACAAAAACACCAAGCGTTGACCCGGCGGCGCCGCACCGGCCCCCGTGGCGAGCGAGTCGGCTCTACACTGTAGTGTACCCCGCGTGCGGGGTCACATGCTTCCGAGTCTCGCGGAAGGATTGATGAAAAATAATTCCAAGTTAATAACTTTATTCTAATAGAAAATGAACTGATCTTTTCATTGATACCTGTTATAAGTCGGTATTATACATTTTTTGTGTCAAAAGGGATCTTTAAACATTTTGACGGTATTTTTAAAAGCTTTCTATAAAGACGCCAAAGGCTAAACTTATATCACGAGAAAGCCCGTTTAAAGCTCTACAGTTCTCCGCCAATGAAAAGACGGTATTTAATCATCCCTCGTTCCGCGAAGCATTTGAATGCATGCGTGTCAATTTTTCAACCGGCCGACCTCGCATTCCGACCGCAAGGGGCTTCGCTTTCGTCGGTGATTCTCCAGCTCCTAATAATCGGACATATAAACAACTTACACCATCGTAACGAGGTAAAGCTGAACTTTTACAAGGTGTACGGCATTTGGTGTTTTATAGCGAAAGAGCAAAGAAACAGCGATCGAAATTACCCCGATTTTACCGATACCACGCTGTCGGAAGGCCGCGAGGCCGTGTTTACGCTACCTACTATTACCAAAACTTTCATTAATTTTGGGTTTGATTGTTTTTATTTGTCATATTTCAGATTTTGTTTATAGTAATGTGACCTCAACTAAAGAAAAATTCACTAAATATTTTATATTCATCAGAAGAAAAAAAACAAGCTGGAAAGGCATCATATCTTTTGGGTATTGAAGTTTTTGGTAGTATATGAGTATGGCAAAGTAAAAAAAAATGAAAACTGATCTTCTTTCAAGCAGCTTGAAGGTCAAGGTAATTACTATGATTTGCATGTAATCACCTTCCTCAGCTACTAGTGCATATTTTATTACAGTACCTTTTAGAGAATATTATATATATAGTTTGGGGCCTCAAGTCTCAAAATTGACTTTGTATAATCATTTTCTCCTGAACATGTGATCATTCCAGGATATGAAAACCAATGAATTTCATTTACCTCCAGGTGCTCATTCCCACATTCGTGGGCTGGGTCTTGATGATGCCTTGGAGGCGAGACAAGTTTCCCAGGGAATGGTGGGACAGGTGAAAGCCAGAAAAGCTGCAGGTGTGATTATGGAGATCATCAAGGTATGCCATTTGACTTCATAACAATCTTCAGGTGATGGGTAGAAATTTGAAAACCTATTTCATGATATGCCCATTTGGGTACAAGTCTTTTACAGCTCCAGAAAAAAAAAGTTATTCATGAAACATAACTCGCACAACTTATTGGAGTTATTATTTGCTGCTAGAGATTGTGACTTCTGATCAATTGTTTGAGAACTAGTGTTTTCAGCTGCATGTGTGCTTGGCTTTGTAGTGCATTGTGCTTTTCAATATCTTGACAGTGGTGCTCATTATTTTCCTCAGGAGGGTAAAATAGCTGGCCGTGGCATTCTCATAGCTGGGCAACCAGGAACGGGGAAAACTGCTATTGCCATGGGTGAGTACATGAGAAAATTGGTATTACCATGCACATACTTGTGTCACAGTTTAAAATGTTATGTTTTTGTTAAAAGGTTAATTGGGCTGAGTGGTAGGACTGCTATGCTTTGATAAAAGTTGTATTCTAAGGACTCAAGTTGACTGTCTCTGGTGATTGGATACAAGGGGCTGTCTTGTGATATTTATTTTTCTGGCGGAAGAAGATGCTGTATTCAGGGTGTCCAGCAAAGTCGTAAAAAAGTCGTAAATTCGGCGCCCTGGCTGTAAAGGTCGTAAATGGTAGTAAATTTGCCTTGAA